CCTTAGAATACCACCTTGTGTAACCCCACTTTACTGCCTTTTGCCCCTGTTTATATCAATATAAAAGGTAGCATGTAACCTTCCTTGTAACATGTGTAAAAGTTTCAAGAAAATCAGTAAAGTGGTTTTCCTGGAATCACAATGACAAGATTTATCCAAAAAACGTCCAAGATGGCCGCCAGAATGCAAGATGGCCACCGAAAGGTTAATTAGCTCTAGAACTTCTTACCATGTAATATGTGTGAAAATTTGAAGTAAATCCGTTTGGTTTTCCTGAAATCGTGATGACAAAATTTATCTTTAAACTTCCAAGATGGCTGCCAGAATGCAAGATGGCCACCGAAAAAATAACGAGGTCTAGGACTTTTTACCATGTTACATGTGTGAACATTTGAAGTACATCTGTTATGCGTTTTTTGTGGAATCGCGATGACAATATTTATCTGAAAAAAATTCCAAGATGGCCGCCAGAATGCAAGATGGCCGCCGCAAAGTTAATCAGCTCTAGAACTTCTTACCATGTAACATGTGTGAAAATTTGAAGTAAATCCGTCTAATGGTTTACCTGGAATCGTGATGACAAGAAAGTGAGACTTCAGAATGCCACCTTGTCTAACCCCGTTTTGGTGCCTTTTGCCCCTGTTTACATCAATAGAAGAGGTGTTTTCTTTAAGAGGGAAGTCTGTTCTTTCAAACGGTACAATCATTTTATGTGGGAAAGTACCGGACAACAAAACCCCTTTTCAAGAGCCCTTTTGGAAATCAGATCGGGGACTAAAATGATCCTCACTTAAATACGACTCGTCAGTTGTATCCAGAATAGTAGAACGCCTATGGCGCTAGTGAATATCCAAGTCCCAGGTGAGTGGTTCGTATCCCTCCGTGATATACTATTTTTGTTTTATTAAATACGACAGAAAGGAGCAAGGTGTAGGTTGAAAACAAGACGTCAGTTTGTTTCAAAACAGTTTGGAAACATTAATCTCTGATAATTTAAGGTTTTCCACTCCTGAAGTGCCTCTAGATCTATGAAATTCATTAATCAAGACAGTGTAAAATTTTTAGATATATGTAATACGTTTTCATACTTTAGCCTGTGGAATCAACTAAATATTACATTTTGGATTTCATTGATATCCTGTCATAGTCCTAATTTTTTTTTGAAACATTATTTTTTCAACACTGATACAAATTTCCCTGACATTTCCCTGACATATCTACCGTTTCAAAATTCCCGGTCATCTTTGGCCCTTTTGACCTAATTTTAAAATTACCTGACATTTCCAGCACTTGGAAAATCAAGTCAATTTCCCTGACATTTCCAGGTGCGTACGAACCCTGGAAATATCCAAATGGCTCGCCCTATGAATCGCTAGCACAGATTGGATTGATTAGTGTTTCAAAATGGTGGACGAAGTGTTTGATTAGATAATTTACATATTAAGCTTCTGAAAGGGGCAACAAGGCCTGTACATAGAAAATTCGAATTTTTTTACATTTTCTGAATTTTTAGGGCAACATTTGGCTTAACATCTTTTTTTATACATTTTTTCTTAAAATGTATGGATAAACAATAAAATTTCAGTATTAAGCAGTGCAAATTCAGTTCAAAGCTACTATAAAGGGAGTCCAACTTATAGATTTTGAAAATCCGACTCGTTTAAAGAAGAATATCAGCAGCTTTAATCATACAAAATGGATGGAGGGGGGGGGGTAGGCGATTTCTGCAAGAAAACTCATCAAATTTGGAAGATTTATTTTTTCAAGATATTTACAACTGAATTGCCAAATGAATAGGCGCAGTGCATTGCAAAATATGTAAGGTCTTCTAGTATTTTTTTGACCTGATACGCTTCTAAGATATGAGATCTATTGTGATGATCCTCCCATACTTAGTACAATGTTATGTGTTTATTCTGAGGATTATCACTTTGTTTAAATTGCTCTTAACTTTATTTATCAATTATGTTTGTAGATACTTCATAATTCAGGAGTTTATTCAGAATTTTCTTATTTCACTACTTCCTTATTCAGCCTTTTGTTGATAGTCTCATATTAAAAAGTTTATATGTGAATTTCTTACACTAGGCACATTATGTCAACTTTATATCAAATGTTGGTTATGTTATTGTTTATTTTAGCAATATTTAATGTTTGTTATGTGTGATTGTTTATAGGGGGCCAAACTAAGCGATTACATTTTATTTTGAGACTATATAATTTTGGCACACATTTGCATGAATCATCAGTTCTTCAGTGGGACTTTGAATCACCGGCAAGTAACAGGAATTAACTTTCTCTCTGCATTTTGGAATTAATACACATACATATTGGATATATAACATCTTAATTAGATACACTAACCTAGGTGAACGGGTTGGTAAGGTAATGGAATTACTTTTACTCTAAAACAGAGAAACTGTTTATACTTTTTCCTTTTATTTCTAATTAAACCCTCATAAGCATTGAGTGAGCTACGTGTACATTCTTGTAAGAAGCATTTCTGATTCATTTGAAATTTACAGATTGACCTATATGTATATTTAAGATTCAATCGCCAACTTGGTATTTTTGGCTTTATCTTATATAATTTGAGGGTAATATCTGCTTGCCAGTGTTGATTATTTGAGTCACTAGAATATTCATACTTAAAATCTACATTTTGAACTGAAAACTTGAGAGAACTACCAGCTATTTATTTCACTTTTATATATATTGCAACTGCCTAATGTATTCCATATATCCCCAAGGTCGGGTTTGATTTGTCGTAATTAAGCTATGGCAATTTATTTGCTACTACGCTGTTAGTCTGCGTGGCTCTAGAAATAAGATACAACCCCCCCCCCCCCTAGCATGGTCTTGAAGAATTTGAACAAGCGTTGTATTAAACTGTACCAATAATATAGAACATTTCCCGAGACGAGTTGGTTTGGAGTTTTTCTAAGGCAATCATCAAATTTGCTGATACTCCGAGGGGTCTGTGATGCACCTGGTTAGTATCATCAGGCATGGACTAGTGACGATTTTTCAGTTGTCAAACAGCTTCACAGCAATAATCGACTTTTGAGCGCTCAATTGATTTCACTGGGCATATTTTATTTACTTTCCTTGAGATTGATTACATTTATATTGGAAATTCTTAGGGAATCTAGCAATTGTTGTATTTTTCACTCCATTATCTAATTATTCAAAACATCCCCCAGGCAGGGTTTGATTTTGGGTAAGCAAGGGCAATTAATTTGCTGATACCCTTATTCGTCCCAGGGAACTAAGCATAGCCAGTGTTGGTATTAATTTGCTAATATAAAGCCTCACAGCATTTTAAATCTTTGTGTGCCTTTGTAATTACTGTGAGAAGATCCTATTTGGAATTTTGCATAACTGTCATAAGTTTTTGTCCCATTTGCTACACAGTGACTATCCGACCACATTTATATTTTCATTACACTAATCAAACCCCTAGTCTTAGTTAGCTCCCATGTGGTCACTTTATCTGTATTACATGTAAACACCTTCTGAACATTTGATCATGATTACTATCCCGAACAGGAGATACATGCCTGTACTCATTGTATTGATGCGTATCTGGCTATTTTAGCCAGTACAGAACCTTTCTGAGAATTAATCTTTCATTGTTTTTATGATGACAATACAACCCCCTTTTGCCTGTATTGAACTAATTAGACAGGTCATTTTACCAAGTGAGGAAAACTGGCAGGCAGAATTAAGAGTATCAAGTTACGTTAATCGTTTGCATTGAATTTCCTAGATACACTGAATTTCATAAGTGTATTTGACTGAAAAGAACGTTACTTTCTGTTGTTTTGCATAACTGATGGTAAATCGTTGTAGAATTGTGTAACCAAACAAATGTATATATCTTGAAATAGAGTTGAATTATATTCATTTTATATAATTTCCCATTACATTCTCTGTTGTGTTGAATGATTGTGTAAAAGTGTGGATATAGATCAGTGTTTGAAAAGACCCCCATTCCCATATATTTTACAATCTATTATCAAGCTACACCATTAAAAATCCAGATACTTGATAGCTGGGTAACCCAGGACCACGCTACCCAACACCCTGGGTTGCCACAGATGGTGCCAGCGGCTGGGGTCTAGATACTTTACGTATTGACTCACGCATTGGATTACGTCATTATTTGATTTGATATAGATTGTTATTATAATGAAGTCTTTGATATATAAAACACTGTTTTATCAATTTATTTGAACATTCACACTACCGCACATCATGTCAGACACATCAGAACCTTTTTATGTAGCTAGACACGTGTCATTGCTTACACCCGAATCTGGAGAAAGTTGTTCATCCCGTCCAAAGTTGAAAATGAACAATGCTGAGGGGATAACATCGGCATTCAATGATTCTGAGATGATTTTAAGCCATCAGGAGTCCAGTGAGAAACCATTGGAATTGACAATGGATGATGCAATACCCTTTGAGAAAACTGCTACAAGCGTTTCGCCAATTAAAGCGAAGTCTCAATCCAAACCTTTGTTGTCACATCTGAAATTGACCAAAATGCCTAAAATCCAGGAAACTGTACCCGAATCACTCCATACAGTTGACCTGACATTGAAACCATTCATCAGATCTGTCAAATCAGAAACAGCAGATCATGATTTGAGTCCAACACAAATTTCTGGTAGTAAAATTAAAAACTCAGAAGTAGTATATAGTGAGCATTTCGATCCCCTTGATCCACATTCCACTGAGGTGGATCCCGGGAAGAGGAAACCATTAAAGGATATGCATGGTTGCAAACATGTAAATTTAGCTTTTGGGAAAACTATATCCTTGTATGGGGCAGTAAAAAGGCTTCTGTTCAACAACGGGTGTTAACCTGGGAAGCCTCCCCAGATGAAAAACCAGACAGTGGCTACCATTCACAAGAACTTGTAAGGCCAAATTATGAATTAGAATACAGGCCAAAGTCTACCGTGTCCCATTCATTAGTCATTGAAACTAACAAGATGAATAGTATGTTCTCTGATATCAGCCAGAGTGAACATTACAAATCCCATACTCCTCAATTACCAGATTTAGAACATTCTTACATGTGTACTGAATCCAATGTATCTGGTGAAACTCATCCCTTAGAAGGTGGTGGTTATTTCAGTGCTAGTGAGCCCGAACAGAACAAATCCAAAAGTCCTCAAGATACTTGGTATCATACAGAATGTCCAGACAAAGCCATGGGGATCTTTTCTGAAGGAATGAATCCCAAAGCAGTGGATAGAGGACGTCCAATGACCAGACAAACTAGAGCCCGTCCTCAGCTTTCCTTGTTCCCAGAGAGAGTATATTCAGGTCGTAACCCTGTGTCCCAGGAGGTTCAGTTATTGAACAACTCTCTTCTGGATGACCCATTTGTTGTTGATGCAGATGTTGACAGCTGTGACAGCTCTGACTATGCAACAGCTGGTGAATTATTAGAGCCTGGCAAGTGTAAAATGAAATCCAATTCTCTTCATTTCCCCAGGAAAGTGAAGCAATTTTCTGCTTTGCCTAGATTGCCAAGTTCAGACTCTTCTGATGAAGAGTTACTGACAAGATATGCCAATAATCCTGCCAAAACCAAATTGAGTCAGAGAGAAGTATATCCTTGTATCTCAGAGGCTGTAATTACTAAGTTAGTTCAGCAACAAATGATGATACTTGGTCAAAATCTGACAAAGGTTATAAAAAAGACCCTGAAAAAGAATTCCAATTCCAAGCCAAAGTCAAAGCGATATGTCTCATATTGCCAAATATGTGAAACAAGAAGACACTCCATCTTTGACTGTGACCAACGACACTCTATGGTTACTGGTGTCAGAGCTTGTTTTAAATGTGGAAATGACCATCGTATAACTGATTGTCCTTCTCTAAAAGTAGGACCAGATCAGGTTGAACACTAAATCATTATAGTGTTAGTGTGTGTCTAGAATCAGGCCAGAAAGATGCACCTCATTTACCATAAAGAATGGCCTTTAGAACCATGCTGCCTTAATTTTCCATGTTTCTGATGTTGATGTAAAACTATAATCCAATCAGAAGATTTATGCTTAGGTATGCATTACTTTGTTTAATGTTGAAAACACTTTATTTGATTTTCAACACATGTGTTTTATTTTATTCCCTTTTTGCTTGTGTCTTTGTCTGCCATGAATTGCGGGCTGTTTTGAACTTGATGTTGTTTAAAGCCCATGGCAGTGAACTAGGTGGTAATGCAAGAACCTCGACACATGTAAGGGAACTGTATTTATTTTTTATTATTAACCATTATTGTCATTGATTGCCATGCCAGAGCCTTACTTTACCCGAGCATTAGTGTTAATTGACAGCATTGGCCTGATCAACCAATGTTTGTACACATGTATACTGTTTGCTCTGGGAGGAACTAAGTAGTGAATAAAGTTCGTGAGGGCATGGTAATATGACAGTTGAACCCAGAAAACTGCTTTTCTTGAACTCCTGAGGTGGATTCATTTGCAGTGGATAACAGCTTTTGATTGACTGGGATTGAGTAACACCGTGGATAGGGCCCATCCATTGTCTTTGTTGAAGTGACATACCTGGTTTTCTGGCAGGTTGGTGATAGGTGTTTCTCATCTTGCCCACCCAGTCATGTTACCCATTTTGCCTTTTTTTGGTGTACTGCAGCGTCTCCAGGAATATGACACGGTGATGCTTTCACCCGACAGAATTCCACCCCAACTTCCTTTGTACTGAAAGGGCCATTGTGACTGAATTTGAATCATTCCCAGTACAAATGTTATGAGATATTATCTGAAAACTACCAATCCGAAGCTGATTGTGAAATGATAAATCTTGATCATACGTTTGATTGATTCAATCTCATTGTAAAACCCTTTATTTTGGCCAATGTATATCACATGTGTGATATTCAAAATTTAAATTTGTATTGTTTGAATAACAAGCCTTATTTCCAGGACTGCGATGATTTGTTTCCAGTCCCATATGAACAATAATGATGACCTTCCACCTAATGAACATTTGAACACGATGATGATACACTTTCTGGTTCAAGTTACGTTTACTTATTTGGTGTACCCATGAGGTGACATGGGGAACCAGTGACAATTGATAACCGGTAATGATTATGAACAAAGACAAAAACTGTATATTTATAAACTCATCTATATGATACATCCGCACTATGGGAAGCCACATGAGGAATATCACAATTACAACGTGTATTATGTACTGGAATTATATCTGAGAACCATGAAGCTGACAAGTGTAACATTAATACCTGATATGATTTTGTTAGTGCACCCCATGCAGATATGGGGAACCAATGACTCTTACAGCAAGCAGCCTATATTCTCAGCAAAATCATTGATGTCTTGCTTTGGGCACTTTGACTTTATATTGCAACACATGATATGGCATAGACAACCACAGACAATTGCCATACTATGAACAATACTTCATATGATATGATGTTTGTAACTCCAATGACTACAACGTATATAATGGAGAATAGACTCAAGGATTACTACTGCCAAAAACAATAATGATGAACTCTAGCAGCTTATGAACACTTATTGTTGTGTATAAATTGTATACAAGTTATCAAACTTTTGCATGTTTTAGTACCAATTGGTTGAAGGTGATTTTAGAAACATGTGTATTTGTATCTTTATATTTTCAGAGTTCGGGGTCGAACTGTTTTAAAAGGGGGAGCAGTGTGATGATCCTCCCATACTTAGTACAATGTTATGTGTTTATTCTGAGGATTATCACTTTGTTTAAATTGCTCTTATACTGGATGAGCTCAGACCAATTTTTAGCTTACGGTATTGCATTTTTCGAATTATGTTAATTATATGTAGTATATCATTTCTCATTGATTTTGAAAATAATAGGGTCTAGTTTTTCAGCCTCTTCGAATTATTGCCATTTATACCCCCTGGCTACTTTTATGAGGGGGTACTAGAATGAGCATTAATAATTTCTGTCATATCCCTCTAATCACATTTATATTTCTAGGGATCACGTATCTATGTATAACTAGCTGCCATGACAAATCTAATCATGATTGGTCAAGTGGTTGCCATGGCAACATAACTTAAGTGCGAAAAACTGTAAATATTTCAAATAAATCCATCAGATCCTTAAAAAGGTAAATGGCTGCTTATCTCTTCAGATTGGACCAACTGACATAAAGTTGACTTTAAAAACATATTTAAGGAGTTATCAATAGGACAACATAAAAAAAATGATAAGGTAAATGAAATCTATGACTCTAGTCCGTAGTCATATTTTATCACTACCATTCACAATACTCAAAAGTGGGCGTGGCACTTTCAGGTAACAATCCTAAGTAACTTCTGTTATGTACCTGCTATCACATTCATACTTTCAGGGAGTATGTATGTGTATGTAGTTAATTGGTACAGCAAGTTTGATCATGTTTGGTGAAATCGTTGCCATAGCAAAAAAAGTGCAAACATTTTGATAGATCCACCACCAATGATTTCATATTGCACAGTAAGTTTGAAAACATATTTAGGTCGTTGTTTATAAGTAAGAATGGTTGAAATCATCTGTAAGTCAATGTCACCATCTCAAGATTGATTTTTAATGTTAACAACTGTGTATAGTGGGCGTGGTACATTCAGGTAACAAAAACCAACCATCTTATTCAATAAGGCACTATCAGTATCAACTATATCAACACAGTTAACACGTGTACATATAAGATATTCCATTTAGGTAAGTTAGAACACAATTGATAAAATGATTGATTTTTCAAAAATTTATTGCTGTAATGATGTCAACATCCATAATCTAAGAATTCATGTTATTAACTAAATAAGATGTAAAAATAATTTATTTTTTGTATCAAATTTAGCAATTATGACTAACAAAATGTTAATAACGTTTCTTTTTCATATTGAACGTTTAAAAGTATTTATATACCTACTAATAAATGGAAAATGCTAATTATATTCACTAACATATTATGTAATACTGTGTTTCTTTATTGATGAATTTTTACATAGTTTTCCTTCTGTGCAAATTGTATAGAAGCACCCATAGGTGACATAACAGATTGAGGTTATTGCAGATCTTATTGAAGAGCTGAAAGGTGCAGGTTAGTGATTTTGATAGGTGCAGGTAAGTGATTAATTCAGGTAAGTGATTAAACAGACACCAAAGTCACCCTCCATACTATCTATTCTGCTGGACACTCTGATAAACCACTAGTTGTTCGTTCTGTTGATAGAGATGTTTTCCTACTCCTGATGAAATATTCGAGTCACATAAAACAGAAATTACTGATGGATGTTGGAACAAGTGACAAAAGGCGAATTCTAGATATACATGAAATTGCAGCATCCCTTTCATCTGACCTCTGTGAGGCCCTTCCAGGATTACATGCGTTTACTGGTTGTGACTCAACCAGTGCCTTTGTTCGCAAAGGCAAACTCCTACCGCTGCGCCTCATGAAAAGTGAGAAAGTATTCCTGCACCTGTTCATTTCTCTAGGAACAACTTTAGAGTTAACCAAAGAACAGATGGATAAGCTTGAACATTTCGTATCTTATATATGACAAAAAAAACTAAGCTAAGAAATATTAACAAGTTACATTGTTCTCTGTTCCAACAGCGGTACACCCCCAAATCAAATGTGACAATATCATATGAAGGGACAGACTTATCCCTTTTGCCACCATGCAAAGATTCCCTAATGCAACATGCATATCGTGCAAACTACCAAACCTACATATGGAAGAGTGCTCATATAGCAAAACCAGATATTGAAAATCCCAATGCTCATGGGTGGAAGGAGACCAACGAAGGGCTGCAACCTAGTTGGTCATCTCAGCCCATTATACCAAATGAGCTGATTGACATACTTGCTGATCAGATTGCTGCTGAAGCACTTGGTAAAGCAAATGAGAACATCAATGATGCTGATGAGTCCATCAATGCAGCTGATGTATTAAGTGAGTAAACTGATTTCTTTGCAGTCTATTAAATCAGTAGTTGCTTATGTTGAAGGCTTTGAGTACAGAAGTCTAAATAACTGACATATGATGAAACATGTCATTAAGTTACTCGTTCAGTTACCTTTAGATATTAATATGTAGTTAAGATAATTAGTTAAGGACATAATGTTGTAAATGTAGTATGTAGCATAGGCATTAGAACTGGATTTGGAAGAAAAGCAATGAACAATGCAAAAATCAATCCAAATGAACTATATATCTATAAATCAATACTTACAGTACACAATCCAAAAATAGTATATTAACAAAGCCATTCATTTATGTTACCATAGCAACCATTTACCATTAACTAATAATTCGAATCATGTTGTTTTATAGAAAACACAACTTTATTTTGATTGGTTTAAGAGATTAGTAGTAATTTACTTGTCATTTCGAAATAACTACATTTTTGCATATAAGTTGTGTTGCCATAGCAACCATTTTACCAAACATGATCAAACTTGCTGTATCAATAAACTATATACACATACATACTCCCTTAAAGTATGATTGTGATAGCAGGTACATAACAGAAGTTACTTAGGATTGTTACCTGAAAGTGCCATGCCCACTTTTAAGTATTGTGAATGGTAGTGACAAAATATGACTACGAACTAGAGTCGTAGATTTCATTTACCTTATCATTTTTATTATGTTGTCCTATTGATAACTCCTTAAATATGTTTTTAAAGTCAACTTTATGTCAGTTGGTCCAATCTGAAGAGATGAGCAGCCATTTACCTTTTAAAGATCTGATGGATTTATTTGAAATATTTACAGTTTTTCACACTTAAGTTATGTTGCCATGGCAACCACTTGACCAATCATGATTAGATTTGTCATGGCAGCTAGTTATACATAGATACATGATCCCTAGAAATATAAATGTGATTAGAGGGATATGACAGAAATTATTAATGCTTATTCTAGTACCCCCTCATAAAAGTAGCCAGGGGGGTATAAATGGCAATAATTCGAAGAG